GGACCATGATTTCGGCCTGTAAAGTCATCACCAAACCCAAGGTCAGCTAGATTTTCTTCTAGGACATTTATAAAACTATCTGGGACTTGTATACTTTTGTGTTTTACATTTAGATCTGTAATTTATTTTGAGTTAATTTTGTAAAGGTTGTAATATCTTTGTCCAGGTTCATTTTTTGACATGTGGATATCCAGTTGTCCAGCACTATTGTTGAAAAGACTGTTTTTACTTCATTGTATTGCCTTTGAACTTTTGTCAAAGATTGGTTGAATATATTAATGGGGGTCAATTTCTGGGCTCTGCATTCTATTGCAATGATCTATTTGTCTATTCTTTCAACAACAGCACCCTGTCTTGATTACTATAGCTTAACAGTAACTCATGAAGTCAGATACTGTCTGTTCTCCAACTTCGTTCTTCTCATTTAATATTGTTTTGGCTATTTCTGGGTCTTTTGCCTCTCCATATGAACTTTAGAATCAGTTTGTTAATATCCGCATAATAATTTGCCATGATTTTGATTGGAAAGAACTGACATTGTGACAATATTGAGCCTTTCTGTCTATATTCATGGCATAGCTCTCCATTTATTCATTGTGTTATTTAAAAATTTTAAATGTGATGTTTTCTTTCATACTTACAGTTATGTATTTAATTATATGTAATTAATATTGAAGTGTTATGTCACAGGTTTCTTCTCATGTCTATTTTTGTTCTCTGTATTTTTGAGAATTTTTATTGCTGTAACATTAGTTAATAAAATTATTTAGGTTTCAAGCGTACAATTCCATAGTACAGCATCTGTATATTGTGTTGTGTGTTCACCACCCAAAGCCAAATCTCCTTCTGTCACCATTAATCCTTCCCTTTACCCTGTTCTACCTCCCCCACCCCCCTTTCTCTCTGGTTATCGCCATACTGTTGTTGTCTGTGCTTATGAGTTTGTTTTTGTTTTTGTTTTGCTTAATCCCTTCACCTTTTTACTCAGTCCCGTCAACACTCCTCCCCTCTTACAGCTGTCAGTCTGTTTTCTGTATCTATGAGTCTATTTCTATTTTGTTTGTTTATTTTGTTCATTAGATTCTACATGTAAATGAAATCATATGGTATTTGTCTTTCTCTAAGTGTCACTTAGTATAATACTCTCCAGTATAATACTCATCCATGCTGTTTCAAAAGGTAAGATTTCCTCCTTTTTTTTTTTACAGGCAAGTAGTAGTCTATCTGTTGACAAGTTTTGTCTTTCTCTTCCCTTTCAATAGAAACTTGTATGATTGCTAGATTCATTGGACATTTCTTTTATGTATTTTGTCTGTTATGCTGAAGTGTCTTTAGATGTGTAGGTAAGGGTTTGGGTGGCCTACTTTGTTTCTTAATTCCAAAGAATCTTGCTTGATCGGTACAAATACAGAAGTGGAGTTCCCTTAATCAATATTGTACTTTTTTGGTATGATTTGGGATTTTTTAATTCTGTGTAGGTTATAACGTATCAGTAGTCTCTTTATCCTTAATTGCTTTATTTTTTCCCTTTATCATCATGCCTCCAGAGATACCTCCTTTTTTCGAGGTGCCTCCTTTCTCCCCCTGAAACAAAATCCTCTCAAGGCTCTCACCTTTGTCGACAGCTTTTCCAATGTAATTTTCAGGCTCCTTTCTTTTGACCATTCCATAGCTAATGCTTTGATTCACTGTTTCCCAAATCTCTTCTTAAGATTTCCCTGTGTTGAGTTGGACCCTCATTTGGTGGTGAACCTTAGCTTGTGTATCTGGTTTTTGCCACCTCACCTCTAAGACCCCATCAGAACTTCCTCTCATTTAGAGTCCTCTTCTGACTCTGTACTTTGGGTGGCTCCAAAGCCAACTCAGTTTGCCTCATATTTTTATTTCCCAATTACATGTAAAATGAAATGCTATTTATTCTGTTTCCTACTTATGCCATAGATGGGAACTATGTGTAGTTTTATTTCCCTTCCTAATGATCTGTATATTTTTTGGAAAAGTGTATAGGAATACTGGAATTTAAATGGCCCTTATTATCCTATAAGACTACCTGGATTCTAGGCCTTTTTATTTAATTAATTAATTAAGTAAAATTAATTAATTAATTATTTAATATATCTTTATTGATTTCAGAGAGAGGAAAGGAGAGGGAGAGAGAGATTGACACAAACATCAATGATGAGAGAGTCATTGATTGAGCCCGCAACCCGGGCATGTGCCCTGACCAGGAATCGAACCCTGATCTCCTGGATCCTAGGTCAATGCTCAACCGCTGAGCCACGCCCGGCCGGGCTCTAGGCCTTTTTAAAATATTTTTTTTGTCAAGTTTCTAGATAACTATGAGATTGAACCATATAAAATTGCAATTTTTGTGACTTAAGAACTATTGAATATATGCAATTATATATAGTTCTACCTAATAGAAAGGTAAGCAAGCTCTTTACTTTTGTGTTTCATGCCTTTTAAAATGTTATATGCTAGAGGTATTATTTTTAGTATTAATTCCAAGGCGATAACGGCTCCATTTTTTTAAATCAACTTTACTGAGATTTAATTTATATACAATAAAATATACCCATTCTAGTGTACCAATTTAGTTGGTATTGACAGTTGTTTATACTTACGTAACCACTAACAATATCAAGATATAGAACATTTCCGTAACTCTAATAAGATGAATTTTGAAAACTGAATAGGAATAAATTAGGCTACATTTCTAAATTGGCCTGTGGGTCTTACATGATCAGAAGCTTTCTTACTTCTCTGTATATTTGTGCTGGCCTCAGGGCCTTTTCACTTGTGAGTCCATCCATCCATCCATCCATCCATCCATCCATCCATCCATCCATCCATTTTCTGCCTGTCACTTTAAATTTCATGTACTTTGAACTGATACCCATCTCTGTAGGATCCAGGCTGCTTTCTTCTTTGATGCCTTTGTTCATGCCATTCTCTCTGCCAGGAAAGCACTTCTTTCCTTAACTAATGTTCTTCCTTGCCGTATTTATTCCTACTCAGTTTTCAAAAGTCATCTTATATTGATGATTTTAGAGTGGATTAGGTATTTATCAATTGTATTTTATCTTTATTAACTGTATTTCTCTATTGTTATATAAATTGTTTGTCTCCTTTACTAGTGTGAGCTCCTTGAAGGCAGCTGTGCCTTCTTCAATTTGTTGTTCCGTCACCTGTGTACCTAGTACATGATAGGTACTTAATAAATGTTTAATTAATGATGAATACCTTTCAACTCCTGTATGTAATCAGAGTTAAAATGAAATCTCACCCTAGAGCAGTGGTTAGAGCAGCCTATGAAATCATTTGGTCTCGTCCTGCCAAGGCAACCGAAGGCGGGACTTGAAATTCAATAAATCTGGGAGCTTTTTTCAGAGCTAATTTTTAAATTGATGCTTTTGTATGGTCCTCGAATGATGTTATAAATATCGAGATGGCCCTTGGCAGAAAAAGGTTCCCCACCCCTGGATTAGAGCATCAGCCCATGCCTACGTTGGTTGCAGGTTCAAACTCTGGCCCTGGTCAGGGCATATGTGGGAGGCAACCAACCGATAAGCCTGTCTCTAATCGATGTTTTTTTCTCTATCACTTCCCCTTCCTTCCACTCTCTCTAAAAAAAATAAATGGAAAAAATATCCTCGGGTGAGGATTAACAGAAATAAACAACCAAACAAAAAGCCCTTAATCTCAATAGGAGAAGTTAAAGAAGTCTTAAATAATAGATACCTATAAAAATTGAGGTTGAACTAATAGCATACTGTTTAGTGTGAGGAGAACTGGGTATTGTTCCCTTAGACCCATAGTTCTACTTGCAGGAATCAGTTATAAATTAATTCTTACTTTTCTTACCATGTGTTTTTGGAACTTCACCAAGGAGTGTTTATGGAACAAAAAAAACCTAGCTTTGTTCAAAGTCTGAACTATATGTTATAATAATGTGATTTATTCTAAGAATTTAAAAAGAAAGCATATTTTAGATTCCATTCTCTATGTTAAGAAGCTTTGATAAGTATATCAGTTAATTGTTTTTAAGTATGTATCTCCTATTAAATTATGAGCTTAAGGGCCAGAGCTAGGTCTTACTAGCCTTTTTTTCTGTTAGATTTCTTGGCTTTGATAGCTAATAAGCGTTGGAGTTGATTCTATGGTTCATGTTCATTGTCCTATTATATACCCAGACATGTTATCCTACTATATTCACCCTAAAATTATATTAGATACAAAAAAAATTGTTTAAGTTTTTGCCAGTCATCAGTTTCTGATTCTGTATAGCAACCTGATATGGCTTATACTATGTGAGTTTAAAATGATACATCTTGAAAAATCTGCATTTTAATAGTATAGGAATTGGGACTAGCAGGAATAATCTCTTTATACACAGAAATAATTTTCAAGTGTTATAAAAACCACTACTGTGTTTAAACCTTTGTTCTCTTTGAATGTATATGTTTATGAAATGATACTATTTTTACCTAAACTAGATTTTTATACCCTTTTTTCAGAGCATATAAGAAGATAAATGATTCTGAATGTGTTGACAACCTGACTTTCATAAACCAGAATGGATCTGGAAAACAACTGTTGGGATATTTGTCTAATACCAGCATAAGTGGCTCAGAATTAACTGTGACTACTATTCTTTTTGTGTGTAGTAGCTGAATAGCAGAATTATCTAAAGGTTTCTGGAGGAACTTACGTTTCAGTTAAGAATAAAGTTCAGCCATATATATAGATACATCTGTACTCCTAAAAAACATACTTTTTTATTTATTCAACATAATCTATGTTTGTGCTTTGTATATAGTAATTTTAAAAATGTGTGAAAGTGCTACAAGATTCTCAAACTCAGCCTCTATGTGACATTTTAAAAATAGGAATCTGTAATTTTAAAGTGTCCCATTTTGATTAATAAAGGTTAATGTTTCTTCATTTCATTTTATATTCATACTTAGTGTTTTTAAATATAACTTTATTTTGCTTTGTAGTATTTGCAGAGAATATTTCCAAAATGGTGGAAAGAGAAAAGCGCTTGAAAAAGATAAAAAAAGAGCTGTACTTGCCACTAAGACCACTCCAGCCTTAAATACACATGAACGGTCTAAACTTGAAGGTCATTTAACCAACCTCAACTTTACAAATTCTGAAATTATAACTGAGTGAGTATACTTTTCTACTTTATTTGCTAACATTATCCTGGGTAGCTATGTTAATAATGTAAAATAGTGTGATGGTTTATACCAAATAGTGGGCAGTATGCTTGCTCCTCTGGTAATACGTTAGGCTGAGAAGTACAAACCTGTAATATTATTAGGAAAACTAGTGTTTCTCTAACAGAGATTGTCCTCACCAAAAATGAGAAAGAATAGTTTATTAAATGTTATAATAATTGTGTTTATGGTAATGCAAAGAATCAAAATAGGAAAATTCAATTAAATTGTTTGCTATCCACTAAGAAATCAGAAATAAGGAATAATGAAAGATTACTAATAGAACCAGTTGTCATTATTTTACTCTTCATAGGAAAATCTGCCTGGTTGTAATCAGTGTATGTATATAGGCACAAATTTTATTTAATAAGTACATGAGTGTTTTTCTAGTGTTACTGAGATATAATTAATATATACTATTATATAAGTATAAGGTGTATGATGTAATGATTCAGTATGTGTATATATTGTGAAATAGTTGCCACAATAAGTTTAGATAACATCCATCACCTGAAATAGTTAACATTCCTCACATCATACAATTATAACTGTTTTTCATATGATGAGAACTTTTAAGGCCTACTGTCTTAGCAGCTTTTAAATATGTAATACAGTATTGTTAACTATAGTCATCGTGTTTTACATTACATCCCCAGAACTTACTTATCTTTATAACTGAAAGTTTGTTCCTTTCACCACCTGTCCACTACATCCCCCACCCCCTGACTCTGGCATTCACAAGTCTGATCTGTTTCTTTGAGTTTGATATTTTTAGATTCCACATAGAATTGAGATCATACCGTACTTGTCTTTCTCTGACATATTTCACTTAGCATAATGCTTTCAAGGTTCATCCATGTAGTTGCAAAACAGGATTTCCATCTTTTTTATGGCTAAATAGTATTCCATTGTGTATATATACATATAAGTACGTGAATATTATGATCCAGTTAATTATTAGTACTGTGAAAATTATTTAAATACCCTAGTACCAGAATACATTTGTGGTTTCAAATTATATTTTATTAATCTCTTGAAAATGCTAAACTTGAGTAATTCTAGAAATAGTCTTGATAGATACTGAAAGTTAACCATGAAAATAAAGTTAAGTACCCTCTTAAAACAATTTGAAATCTGTAGATGTTAACAAAATAACCTTTGGTTATTTTCAGTGTTGAAAATATTATCTAGTTAATTAAAAGCAACGATATTGAAAAATTAACATACCTTTGATTAGTTCAGTAGGAAAAAACACATCTTTACCTTTATTTAAAGGTTACTACAAAGCTTACAAAGCATGATGACTAACTAAATACCCTGTAACTCAGGCATTATGAATATTTATAAACATTTACCAGTATAAGAAATAATAGTTATATTGCTATCAAAAATAGGTACATATAGAAAATGTCAACCCTAGAATTTTTTATGTAAAGTGTTACAAACAGTATAAAATTTATTAAATTCCATTTTAGAAAGATTACACGTAAAGTTCTCATGTTCAAAGAAGACCCAGCCCCTGCCCCACCTCAGGCGTTTCCCATACTATTGTCTGTATCCACGGGTTATGCATATATGTTCTTTGGTTAGTCTCTTCCCTTACCCTCTACCACCTCCCCTCTGAGATCTGTCGTTCTGTTCCATAAATCCATGCCTCTTCACCTGTTTTGTTCTTCAGTTGATTTTGTTCTGTAGATTCCACATATAAGTGAGATCATATGATATTTGTCTCTCTCTAACTCGCTAATTTTGCTTAGCATAATAATCTCTAGGTCCATCTATGCTGTCTCAAAGGGTAAGAGGTCCTTTTTTATAGCCTCTTAGTATTCCATTGTGTAAATGTACCTCAGCTTTTTTATCCACTTGTCTACTGATGGGCACTTGGGCTGGTTCTAGATCTTAACTTTTGTAAATAATGCTGCTGTGAATATGGGGGTACATATATGCTTTCTCATTGGTGTTTTGGGATTCTTAGGATATATTCCCAGAAGTGGGATCACTGGGTCAAAAGGCAGCTCCATTTTTAATTTTTTGAGGAAACTCCATACTCTTTTCCTCTGTGGCTGCCCTAGTCTACATTCCCAACAGCAGTGTACTAGGATTGCTTTTTCTCTACATCCTCATCTGAACTTGTTGATTTATTGGTAGTAGCCATTCTGGCAGGTGTGATACCTCATTGTAGTTTTAATTTGCATCTCTAATGATTTGTGACATTGAGCATATTTTCATGTCTATTGGACATCTGATTGTCCTCTTTGGAGAAGTGTCAAATTAGGTCCTGTGCCTATTTTTAATTGGATTCCTGGTGTTGAGTTGTAGGAGTTCTTTGTATATTTTGGAAATTAACCCCTTATCAGATGTATCATTGCCAAATATGTTTTCCCAGGCAATGGATTACCTTTTCATTCTGTTGGTTGTTTCTTTTGCTGTGTAGAAGCTTTTTAGTTTGATATAGTCCCATTTGTTTATTTATTTCCTTTGTTTCTCTTGCCCTGGGAAATGTATTGGTGGAAATACTGCTGCATGAGGTATCTGAGATTTCACTGCCTGTGTTATTTTAAATGATTTTCATAGTTTTGCGAATTATACTTAAGTTGCTAATCCATTTTGAGTTTATTCTTGTGTATGGTGTAAGTTGGTGGTTTAATTTCATTTTTTTGCATGTACCTGTTCAGTTTTCCCAACACTACTTATTGAAGACATTATCTTTACTCCATTATATGTTCTTGCCTCCTTTGTCGAATATTAATTGACCATCTTGGCATGGGTCGATTTTTGGCGTGTCTGTTCTGTTCCATTGATCTATATGCCTGTTCTTGATTACAGTGGCTTTGTAGTATAGTTTGATATCTGGTATTGTGATCCCTCCAACTCCGTTCTTCTTTCTCAAGATTGCTGAGGCTATTTGGGGTCTTTTTTGGTTCCATATAAATTTTTGCAATATTTGTTCAAGATCTGTGAAATATACTGTTGGAATTTTAATAGGGATTGCATTGAATCTTTAGATTGCTTATGGTAGTATAGACAGTATAATGATGTTAATTTATCCAATCCATGAACGGTATATGCTTCCATATCTTTATATCTTCCTCTGTTTTTTTACCCCCGATGTACCGTAGTTTTCCAAGTGCAGGCCTTTTACTTCCATGGTTAAGTTTGTGTCTAGGTATCTTATTTTCTTTGTTGCAGTGGTAGATGGGATTGTTTTTCTAGTTTCTCTATATAAGAGGTCATTATTGATGTATAAAAATAACATTGATTTCTGAATTTTAATTTTGTGTCCTACTACTTTGCCAAATTCATTTATTAAATCTCGTTTTTTGGTGGAGTCCTTAGGGTTTTCTGTGTACAGTATCATGTCATCTGTGAATAATGACAGTTTTACTTCCTCCTTTCCAACTTGGATGCCTTTAATGTGTTCTTGTCTTATTGCTGTGGCTAGAACTTGCAGTACTATGTTGAATAAGAGTGTTGAAAGTGGACATCCCTGTCTTGTACCTCATTTTAAGGGAAATGCTTTTAGTTTTTGTCCCTCAAGTATAATGTTGGCTGTAGGTTTGTCATACATGGCTTTTATTGTGTTGAGGTAAGATCTCTCTATTCCCACTTTGTTGAGAGTTTTAATCATAAATGAATGTTGGATTTTATCAAATGCTTTTTATGCATCTATGATAGTTATTTTTATCCTTCATTTTGTTTATGTGATGTATTACATTTATTGACTAGTGAATATTTTACCAGCCTTGCATCCTTGTAATAATTCCCACTTGGTCATGATATATGATCTTTTTAATGTATTGCTGGTTCCAATTTCTTAATATTTTGTTGAGGATTTTAGCATCTGTGTTCATCAGAGATGTTGGCCTGTAATTTCTTTCTTTGTACTGTCTTTATCTGGTTTTGGAATTAGGATAATGCTGGCCTTGTAAAAAGAGCTTGGAATTCTTCCTTCCTATTGAATTTTTTGGACTGTTTTGAGGAGAATAGGTATTGGTTCTTTGAATGTTTGAAATAACTTGCCTGTGATGCGATCTGGTCCAGGGTTTTTGTTTGCTGGGAATTTTTTCATTATTACTTTAATTTCATTAGTTGTTATTGGCCTATTCTGGTTTTCTGACTATTCTGGATTGAGTTTTAGAAGATTGTGTGTATCTAGGAATTTGTCCAATTCACCCAGTTTGACCAGTTTGTTGGCATATAGTTGTTCATAGTATTTTCTTTGAATCCTTTGTGTTTGTGTGATGTCAGTTTTTACTTCACCTCCTTCATTTGTACTTTTATTCATTTGGGTCCTTTCTCTCTGTTTCTTGATAAGTCTGGCAAAAGGTTCATCAATATTTATTTTTTCAAAGAACTAACTCTTGTTTTCACTGATCTTTTGTATTGTTTTTTTAGACTCTGTGTCATTTATATCTGCTCTGATCTTGAAGATGCTTGATATGATTTGTCTTACTGAATTTATTAAGACTTATTTTGTGTTTTAATATGTAGTCTGTCTTTGAGAATGTGCCACGTACCCTTGAGAAGAATGTTTATTTTGGTATTAAATGTTCTGTAAATATCAATTAAATCCATCTGATGTAGTGTGTCATTTAAGGTCTCTTTTTCCTTGTTGATTTTATGTCTGGAAGATCTATGTAGTGATGTCATTGGGGTGTTAAAGTTCACAACTATGACTATTGCTGTCTTTCTCACCTTTAAAGTCCACCTTGAGTTTTTTTATATCTGTAGTTTGCTCCTATGTTGGGTGTGTACATGTTTACATAGGTTGTATTTTCTTATTGGATCAAACCCTTTAGTATTATGTAGTGACCTTTGTCTCTTCTTATGGCCTTTGTTTAGAAGTCTGTATTGTCAGATATGAGTATTGCTAATCCAGATTTTTTTTTGTTTCTATTTGCATGGAATTTTCTTTTTCATTCCTTCACTTTCATCCTGTGTGAATCCTT